TCTCCAGGCAGCAAAGAAACTGTGGGGATAGGATCGTGTTTGGAACGAAAGCTCTGAGACCACTGCATAGGCTCAGTCATCTCATCTGCTTCGCTTACCAAATACAAAAATCAAAGATAAAATCATTAAGAATTTCAAGATGGTGACCGCAAAGCCACGGAACGCCACGTGCAGGCCCCACTGAGTCCGACCGGCAGAAGTGCTCTGGCTGACCCCCAGGAAGCCAGCCCAGGACGAGTCAGCAAGCAAAAGGTCAAATGGGCTGCACACACTATCGCAGCCCGGCCTGGTGTAGCCAGGCATAGCCGCGGCAGGGTGAAGAACTTGGGCTCGTGCTCCTGTCTTATTCTTTCTGACTGTGACCCTTGAGTGTTGTCAAAGGGCTCTTGTCTGTCTAACCCCTGTGCCCAGCAGTGGAAAGCGTCAGGCAAGGGGGCCAGTACAGCAGCAAGACCATGACCAGGTGGGAGACAGGTCCCGGCTGTCTTCTCGAACATTCCATGCCTTCATCTTGGGGCCCCACTTCCTTATTACTAAATCCCTCACATTACGCTGTTGCTTCCTCATTATTAATGAAGGGGCTAGGCTGGTTGACCTCCAACATTCCCTCCAGCTCTGTTTACGGGAGCGAAATAACACAGAGCTGTTTGGCAAAAGGCATTCGGCTTCTTGACTGTTTTATCTCCATACTTCATGGACTTGTTGTCATCGATGCATTTTGACTCATCAAAGTCATATCTGAGCTCTTTGTTTATGAGTTGCTGCCACATAGAAGCCAGAAGAAAGGAGGTGTGAGTAATTTGAATGTGTGTAGACAAAATGGGCCCTATATCCTCCAGGCCTAGCAGCAGATGGGTTAATTCTATCACCCTAGATCTTAAAATGACAATAATTAGTACCTGAGCCAGGTGCTTTTATCTGAGGTGCTCAAAGGGCTTTGTGGCTATTAACTCATTAATTCACCTGCCTCGGGCCATCCAGAGGTCAGGAGGAGTCTCCTCGCAGCAAAATAGGCTAAAGGAGATGAGCAGGAAGGGGGAGCAGATGGGGGTCCCCGAAATAGGTCTCCCAGAAGAATTAAATGGAAAATCCCTCTTGGTCTGCTGACAGCAATTTATTCACGAGTGAATTCTCTAGACATTGTATGGTATCCTCTGGAATCCCTTTATCTTTTGTGTAAACTTGAGCTTTCTGGCTTCAGACAGACATCAGTTGTGCCCAAAACAAATAAAAGAGAGCACTGCGTCCCTACAATTTTCTTTTCTCAAAGGAGAAAATGGGGCTTTAAGTTGAAGAATTGCTATAGCTAGAACATCACTTCAGAATGACTTTGGCAAGTGTTTGTTAAGTTTCTGACATATTTGCAGGTGGTTTCCATGAAAAGGCATCTGTTGAAAAACTACACTGCTATGAAGCACTTTTGCAAAGCACTTTTATCATTAGAATCATTTAATCCGCCTAACCATTCACCCAGGAGGTGGTCTACCTGGGGCCAGGTGCTATTCAGGCAAAATCTGTGCAACCTAGTTGGGAGTGGTGACACACACCTGCCTGTGCAACTTAGCTAGACTATGTGTGAAAATAAAAAATAAAAATGACTGAGGATGTAGCTCAGTGTGAAGGCCTTGGTTTCAATCCCCAGTACCCCCAAAAAATTATGGAACCAGCTATAACCCTGTCAAAGAGATGAGATTCATACAAGCAACTTGATAAATTTCTTGTTTATTATTATTCACTTATACCTGTTTATTGTTTAAAACTTCATTTTTACTGACAAATTAACTAGCAACATAAAATGGGCAGAAATCTGAAAAGGGCCGTAAGTCATACTGAGTTGATGGTGGAAGGTAATCAGTGCATGCCCGGGTGATCAGGGAAAGCAGGAAACGTCTAGGGGATCCAATGAACTAGATCATAGAGGTAGGGAAAGTGTTGGGATCAGAAACAGGATCAATGGGAATAAAGCAAATGGCACTTCAAGACAGGGACATGTCAGTGACTGTAAGACTCAGTCTCACTTCCACTCCACGGAGCATGAACAGCCGAAAAGGCCTCCACAATGCTGGGTCCTAAAACCCAACAAGGCTCCGGGAGCTCAACAGAGGAATGAGAGTCACCCAGGAAAGAACACACCAGACTAGATGGTAAACAGACCTTTATTAATCTGGACAGACGGCACTCTCAGAACCAAGTAGCTGGCTCAGAGAGGCGCCAGCTCAGGGGCTGAGGTCCTTTTCATAGGGGAGTAAAAAGGGGGGTTAACATTCTAAGCTTGCAGGCAGGGGACAAGGGTCTGCTGATCTGAGCTGGTGGTCAGCAGTCACGTACTCAGCAGTCACACATTGATGATTAACAGATACCTATAGATGGTTCAAAGGTCACCAAGACATTTAGGATTAGCAAACAGTTTGACAATTAACTGGGAGTCTCTGTATCTCATAGTCTAGAACCACTAACACATTAATCAGGATCCAGACTCCAAACACTGCAAGATTGCCTTACATTCCTTACATTCCATTTAAGCCAGGGTTAAAACACAGGTTGGGGTTATGGCTACAATGGGAAGGGGTTAGAGCACTGTCTCCTGGGCCCTTTGTTATTTAGCATGGGCTTGTAATTTAGGTCTTACAAGATGACCAAGGGATAGCTAACGCCTTTGTGAGGCTGCAAGAAAACCAACCTGGCTAAACTATTGAGCCTAGATGGGAAAGGTGGGACAAGATCACAGAGCACTTCGCAACTACACTAAACAAGCCCTGATGGAGGGTCTGCAGAAGTCTTTTGTCAAAATGCAAACATCCAGGGAAAGAATGACAGAGTAAATGAGAGGGGCGGGCATTCGACACAGCCTACACAGGGTAGATGGGCTGTACTGTACGTCACCCCAGGAGAAAAGAAACGTGTGATTTCAGTATCAGCTGGTGACCTTGAATTGTGACTGGTTCCATCACAGAGCCTAGGAATGCCCCAGTGAAGCAAGACAGCAGGACATTCTGGTGGGGGTGAGGAGGTGAAGGGAATCTGGAAATCGCAAGTAAAGCCATGGGCAATACCAGAAATGCCCCCACCTATGACGGATCACCAGGGCCTGAGGGAGGATTTCAAAGAGAAATGCACAGAGTAAACAAAAATCCTCTAATTTACAATTTTGCTTTTTGTTTTTGGTGGGGTCTTTTGGTATTTTTGGTAGTGGTGGTGGGGGTTGAACCCAAGGCCTTTGCAACTGAGCTGCATTTCTGGCCTCTTTTAATTTTTATCTTTATTTTTTTGGGACAGGATCTCACTAAACAAGTTGCCCAGGCTAGGCTGAACTTACAATCCTCCTGTCTCAGCCTCCCAGAGTGCTGGAATTACAGGAGTGTGTGTGCCACCACATCTAGTCCACTGAGCATTTGAATGCTAATGGTAGGCAAAACTGCCCTTCCAATGGCCCAGTGAAATTCTTGTTCGTTTCTAAAATGGATACTGTTTTGAATCTTACAATGAAACGAAGATGTAGGGAAGTCTCCGGAACTGGCTCTTTCAGGAAGTAGGTCAGAAGAAGGATGATGTACCCCTCTATGGGGCCACATGGGCCACATGTTGCTTCCTGAATACACTGAAATATATGAGGAGGAAGCAGACTTCCCCACATTCACCCCCCTTGAGGACCTCCTAGAGACCAAGGTGCCTCTGGTCAGCAGAAGAGTGAAAAATAATGGTTCTCACCGAAGAAATCTGTGGATGAGCTGCTGTGAAACTGGAATAGGTGTGTCTTTCTGTCCTTCCGGTTCTTTTTATAGGCACTGCAGGAACCTGAGTGAGGGCCTACAGCTCTTCCGCCCATTTGGGGAGAGATTAAAGAAGCTGAGGTTGTCTCCTTCTTACTCATTTGCAGTTAAAGCCTCACCAACACTACAGCCTCAGCTTCCAGAGGGGACGGGCACAGAGGAGGTAAGTCAGAACTAAGGGCCTGCTGCCAGCTATAGACCGGGATCACTCCGGCCACCTAGTTTGGGAATAACTGAAGGGGAACGGACTCAGGGGTATTCAGTAGCAAGGTGGTTTGGCTTGATTTGGTTGAGTGTGGTTTTCCCCAAATAAATATGTGGAATTTTTTTTATCAAACCACTTCAGTCAAGACATGGATTTTGGTACTAAACTATCCAAGAAGTTATTTGGAAAAAAGGCGCCATTTTGTATAATTCTTTCATAAACAAACTGCAGCTGTCGGATAATAACCTGTTGCACTGGATTGATCTGAATTGAAAGAAGAAATAGTCATTAAATTAAAATTACTGGGAAAAATCATCTGCCTATCTCCTTGAAGCAGGGAATCTGTGTTTAGAATAACCCAGTCAGTGACCCGCTAATGTGGGCAACCTCTGTTGACTTAGACGGAATCCCATCAATCATGCAAACATTGTGACATCCCCCATTTTATGGAAAAGATTCTGTATTTGCTATCATAAGGCCTTAAAAACTGTGATACTAAAATGCATGAGATTTCAAGTCCTGCCTGGGCAGCTTTAGCAATTTAACGAGGCTCTATCTCAAAAAGACAGGTGAGTTATTTGGAGCCCCAAAGAAATCTGTTCTGCTTCTTCCAGCAAGAGTATGGAGCGATCCTCAGAGAATCTTAGGTTAGCTTTCTCACTTGCTTTCCTGGCATCCTGTTTACGACAATGACAAATCTGGGGGTGCTGTATGTACCAGCATTTCCCATTCCCGGAGACTATACTTGTATATATCTGCTTTTTCACTGCTCTAAGGAAGCTTAGCATTTAGATAAGTATCAGTAGTCAAACAAAATGGAACTTGTGTCTTCTCAATGTCCTAGTGACACTTTAGTAAAGCCATTTCCTTCAGGTGCCTAGGTATCTTCATGGGGGAATGAGAGACACCATCCCTCCCTGCCTCGATGCCTAACATCATTCTGGGGATGGATGAAAAGTCCCGTTTGTCTCCTCCTCTGCAGGGTAACGGAAGACCATTCCTGTGAGGTCCACCTAGAAGTCACCATGTATGATGACTGCATGGAGCCCACCAAAGACTATTATCTCTTCTGTGACAATGAGGGGGCATGGGGCATTGTCCTGGAGTCCTTGGCAGCAATTGGCATCGTGGTGACCATTCTGCTGCTCTTAGCCTTTCTCTTCCTCATGCGAAAAGTCCAAGACTGCAGCCAGTGGAACGTCCTTCCCACCCAGTTCCTCTTCCTGCTGGGTGTGCTGGGGCTCTTTGGACTTGCTTTTGCCTTCATCATCCAGTTCAATGAACAAACTGCCCCTGTGCGCTACTTTCTCTTTGGGGTTCTCTTTGCTCTCTGCTTCTCCTGCCTCCTGGCTCATGCCTCCAACCTGGTGAAATTGGTCCGGGGCGGGGTCTCCTTCTCTTGGACAACAATCCTGTGCATTGCTGTTGGGGTCAGTCTGCTGCAGACCATCATCGCCATCGAGTATGTGACGCTCATGATGACCCGAGGCATGATGTTTGTGCACATGACACCCTATCAGCTCAATGTGGACTTTGTTGTGCTGTTGGTCTATGTCCTCCTCCTGATGGCCCTTACGTTCTTCGTTTCCAAAGCCACTTTCTGTGGCCCGTGTGAGAACTGGAAGCAGCATGGACGGCTCATCTTTGTCACTGTGCTCCTCTCCATCATTATCTGGGTAGTATGGATCTCCATGCTCATGAAAGGCAACCCACAACTCCAGCGGCAGCCCCAGTGGGACGACGCGGTCATCTGCATTGGCCTGGTCACCAATGCGTGGGTTTTCCTGCTGCTGTACATCATTCCTGAGCTCTGCATTCTCTACAGATCATGCAGGCAGGACTGCCCTCCACAAGGCAATGCCTGCGGTGTGGTCCCAGTCTACCAGCACACCTTCCGCACAGAGAACCAGGAGCTCTCCAGAGGTACCGTCCTATGGGGAGGTGGGCAGGGTTCAGGGAAGGGAAGGGGCTCCACTGAGAGAACCGCAGAGAAATAGGCCAGCAGGCTGACCAAGAGGAATCCAAGAGGAATGGTCAGACTTTTGATGAGTAACTTCATAATTCAAGTGTGGAGATGAAGACACTCAGATTCAAGGTTAAATTTTTTATGAAAAATTAGCTCTTCCAGAACAGAGGGTGATGCGGAGGGACCAAGACAGAAACAAATCAGAGATACTAAGTAAACAAGGCATAACTGTGAGCGCTCAAGCTGGGTAAAGAGAGGCACCCGTGCTAAAACCCATTAGTCAGCCACAAATGGGACTTAGGCCATGCTTTTGAGTGACATTGAACACTACGTCCAAATGAGTCAAGTACAAAAGTCAATCCTAGAACAGTGGTTGGTATTTTAAATTTTTGAGTCTCAAAGCTAATTTGTCCCAACATAATCTTAAACTTTTTGTGGGACTCGCCACTCATAAAAGACACAGGACCGAGCAGCTTCTGGATTTCCACTTTCAAACTATTAATCATTTTAAATCTTCCAAGGTTTATTTTAAAAAGTTATAGGAAGGATCATTCAACATTTAATTAATTTAATCCAAATTCTGAATAAAAGTTCCGATGTGTGATCTTTGTTTGACATAATGCAAGTTGACTATATGATGTTTTCATGATAATTTCTGGGTCATATTTTTAGCCTTATGTAAGAAGACCAAGCCATCTGACTCTGTTTTGTTAGAAAATAAAACATACTATCTATAACAAAAAGGATATTTGGTCCCCAGCACCTGGGGAAAATAGTGCTAATTTCGGTTATCTGGAAATATATCAAAACTCATTAATTCCTTTTTGGAAACATCTGGCTTATTATTCAGAATTCACTATCATAGCTCTATATCAATTTTTGTGTCTTAATAGGCAACTGATTTCTTACATTTTTTTCTAAAGTGTAACGATGGTGTTATTTTAGATATTATGCAGTACACATAATGTTCACCAAGCTAAAGAAATTAATGTAAAGCTTTCATTTTAAGTGTATATACTTTTTTAAGCTGTAATCTCTGGCTAATTGCACATTCAAATTAAATCCTGTTCATTTAAATGCACCCATTAATCCTTTTCAGCTCAGTTGACCAAGAATCAGAAATTAACACTACATCCTTCCTCTAAAATTTTTTCATTGTTTGTTGATAATGTGTAATCAGATCTCTGGAGAAGTGAGGCAGAATTGCAGAGTCCATCTTTCTTGAAAATTCTTTTCATAGTTCTTACCAGAAGATAAGATAAAAGCTGCTGTGTTGGTTTTGCTATTGAATGTTTCCACCAAACAGAAGTCAGAATGAAGCTCTCAGAGTTTCACAATAAATACACAGTTGTAATGATCAGCACTCCTTACCTACCCCAAATATGAACCATGTGTTTAAAATTTTCTAAGGAGTGTCTTAGTTGAAGAGAAAGTGTTTACAAAAGGACCTGTTTCCTGACTTGGTCCGCACAACCCTGTTACCCAAGCCAGATTAGAAAACCCATTTCTGAGGAGGAAATAATGTGCCAGTCATAGTCATTGCCAAAGCAGTTTGATACTTCATGGAGAGAAAAAAACTGATAGTGTAGTTAAAAAAAAAAAATCTAGATTTCTCTCTGAGAGTGGACAAAGTCACCAGAAACTTTGAGTCAGTGAATAGTCAGAATATAGGTCACCAGGAAAAAGTACCATTGTCAAAAATTAGAAGGCTAATTAAAACTCAGTTTAAAAATGCAGGACTACAGCTACTTAGGAAAAATACACAAATAAGGTGAGAAGTAAAGGAACAGTAAGTAGAATGAGCCTACGGGTCACCATGGGTCAGGAGCCACAGGCGAACGCTGCTCTCCGGTGCCTGGGCAGTTTACTGAGGAAACATTCAAGGCACTAAGTAAACAGATGTGGCTGCCAAGGACAACCTTGTCCTCATCCTCCGCATGGGTCAGGCTCCAGCGAGAATTTCCATCCCAGGCCTGGGATTCTTTAATGAGAAGTGTGGGGTAGAAAACCACAAAGATGATTAAAGGGTTATAGCGTCAGACCTGTATGCAAAGGGTGAGACAATGACCCTGACTTGGCAGTTCTGAAGTTCTTTATGTGCCTTTCTCGTAGGTGACCCAAGTGTTGTCTCTCCCCCTCCCTCTCTCTCTCCTCCCTTCTCTCTAAATTCTGGACCAAAATACAGCATTTTGTGCAAGTCCAGGAGGCCAGCTGCTGTCATATGACTCTTCTGACTAATGCTATTTGTAGCAGTGGCTCCGGTCACATAAGTATTTGATTTACCACTGGGTTTATGAGGGCAGAATTATTCAACTGAAAGAGAAGTAAGTCAAAGGGTGATTAGTGGAGAATTTCACAAGTATGAAGACCTCCCTGCAAGAGGCTATTGCCCTGTTGTTTTCCATCTCCAACTAAAAACAAGGGGTGGGGATGAACTTGAACCAAAACAGGAGGAATTTAGATCAAATATGAAAATAAGGGATGGTAAACACTTTTCTGGAACAGATTAGCAAAAGGGATTAAGGGCTCCATCTCCCCATTTTTCAAGAGAAGATTAGACTTTAATCTCTCTGAAGTGGCTTAGGGACTTAAATCCAAGATATAAAAACATCTGGATAGAGAGTAAAAATGCAATCAGGCATGTCACGACAGGACACTGAACAAATGGGTGTAAATATCCTTTCCCCTATCCTCTAAATAGGTATTGATTAGACTTTTTAAATCAGTTCCTCTTCACCAGAATCTTAAGCCAAAAATATAGATATATACTCTCACAGCATTTGATTAATATTTTATAACCTCAACATATTGTTAGGCTCAGGAAACTGTAACATAAAGATGCTCAAGAGTAGGGCAAAGAACCTGTGCATGTATAAATAAAGTAATTAAAATGCAAAGTAAAAATGCAGAAGCCACTATGTGAATATTTGATCAGTCATCTACATGCATCTGGGATTATGCTATTTTTTTTACATATCCTTCATTAATTAGATTACTTGATGGATATGTTACTTGTTTTATTTGTGGAGTTGGTGAGTTTTTTAATATGTCTGCTCCCCAAAAATGTATAAGTAACATCCAAAAATAAATGGATAGATTACTTAATCAACTAAATCAGTTGCTCTGGGAATTCACTGGGAATTTGCAAAGGTCTTAAATCTAGTAGACTGTTAACTACCCATATTTTTGTGAGATAAAAACTTCTCTATTACCTACTTTATCTTTTTTAGATTAATTAGAATATTGTTACATGAAAACTTGCTGAAAGAAAGACACATCTATGTTCAAAGTATCACAATACTGTGGACATTTTCTCATGTGATATTTGAATGTGTATAGACAAACATAGCATGATTCTTTTTTAAGGTATTAGGGCAAAGATAGTCAATGAATCTACATAATACAAAAATGGGTCAATGAGTGCAAAATGAGACGAACCAGGAGAGAGCTGTTCCTGAAAACATAGACTTTCAGAATGTGTTCCCAACTTTTGCGAAATGTAGGCATTTTTTAAAATTCTCAACATTTTTGTTCCGCAAAGCACATCCAGCTTTCCAAAGGAAATCCAATTCACATGGTCTCAGGTGTCATGACTGTCATTTTTGTTCGTCCACAGGAAGCTCTCTTTGTTACTCCTAGGTGTCGCAGGGATCTGCAGAGGTTGATTCCATGGGCGTTGGGATGGAATGGTGGTTCTCCAAGGATGGGGAGATTCGTCGGTGAGATAGATGGGGGAAAGGGTGACCAGTGGATGTGGTTACAGCCAAAGAGGGCATAGAAATGCTGGTGTTACATAGTAGGGAGTGTTGTGTGCTGTGTGTTGTATATTTTTTTAAAAAAAAACTAAAAGAAAGAAAGGATTCAGAATATTTTTCATCGTAAAGAAATGATAACTGTCAGGAGATAGTTATGTTTTCCTGGATTTGGGCATTAAGGAAAGGATACAGGCATGGAAATGTCACATAGTGCTCCCTTATGGGTCCGATTTTATTTATCAGTTAAAAATAAACTGAAAAAGAGTTGCAGGTCAGACAGTGGGTGAGGGAGACTAGCAGAAAGCAGGTCAGAAGACCGTGAGTCTGGGAAGGGTTTGTGCAGTGTCCGTATGGGGTTTGACACCCATGGAGATGACAGCAGAACCGGGCAGCAGCATGCGGGCTCCAAAGCTTCCCTCTGCTTCTTTCTCGCCAACTGGGAAAAATTGTTCCTGCAGACACAAGACCAGGGACTCCAAAGACCCCAGGGATCCCCTCAGAGTCTTTGTTGATAAATAATAGTTATTTGCCCCTCCCTACCTCCTCCACCTGCAAATGTCAGGTCTTCCTCAACTCACAGTTCCTATCATGAGATGGTTGCCAGTTGAATATAAAGCAATGCACATTCTTTTGGTAAATCCAGGAGCAATACCTGGAGCTGGAGAATTCATTTTTCTAAGTATGATTTGGTCTGATGAGAATGTTGGGTGAAAGCTGGCTACCAAGGGACCGAAGGTGGAGGAGTCAAACCAAGGCTTCAGTTTGTTCTGCCTTGAAAGAAAGATAAGCATTTGCCTAGTGCAATGGTATGTACACGCCTGCAATCCCAGCTACTTGGGATGCTGAGGCAGGAGGATTAAAGTTTGAGAGGTCAGCCTGGGCAACTTAAAAAAATCCTGTCTCCAAAGTTTTGTTTTAAAAAAGAAAGAAGCTGAGGATTTTAACCCAGCAGCCCCTGGATTTAATCCCCGGTGCTGGAACAAAAAGGAGGAGAGTAGGTGGAGAAGAGGAAGGGAGATGACAGGCAAACACTTCAAACCACACAGCATCCAGCTCCTTTTACAAATGCCAGTCAGAGGAGGTTCTCAGAGCATCAATTAAACTATACACCATCACCAGTAACAATATACAAAGAGCACATGTTTTTTCCCTATATCATGCTCTGATCCAAGGGTTTTATCATATATTAATCATGTCCTCAAAACATCCCTATGCAACACACTTACTATCACATCATTGTCTCTTATTTCTATCAGGAAGTAAAAGCACCAAAAGGTTAAAGAACTTGGCTTTAGGTAACACAGATGAAGGGCCTAGCGATTGTTCTCCAGTATTAGAAGCCTTCTCCACTCGGCACTACAGCCCCTGAGTGTGAACACCAGGGACACAGTTATGCCTGTGGCTATCCAAACACAAACAATGCATCGAGCATGTGCCTGGCCTTGGAGATAGACAAGCATCTGTCTTCTCGAAGCTTACATCTGGTTGAGAAGACAGACGTTAAGCAAATAACTGTGTGTGGCTGCTCTCCTACAGCACAGAATGTCTCTAGGGGTGTTATTATTATGATTACTATTATTATATCCAGTCTTAAAAGTTGAGAATTAAGCTCAAAGGGACAATTTTTTAAAAGTCTGATGCCCAAGTTCAGATAATTAATACTAAGAGAGCAAGTATTCTGCTCTGGGGCTGGTGGTCTTTCTCTAGAAAGTGATGGGGATTCTTCCACCCCTCTAGTAACTAAATGCCTGTGCGCTTCTCCTGGACACACATATACAACCTTCCTTGTGCACTTTTAAAATACTCCTAAATCATACATTGTTTCGGTAACAGCCTTAACTGAATATTCCTTTTCAAGGGTCAGGGGCCCCTTTGCATGCCACTGAGGCACTTCGTGCACCTCACAAGCTGTTTCCCCATGAACCTCTGACACTAACCCCACCCTCCCTCCTTTGGCTTGCAGCCCGAGACAGTGATGGAGCTGAGGAGGATATAGCATTAACTCCCTATGGTACTCCCATTCAGCTGCAGGTAAATGTGCTCCTCTCGTCTGCCCAGGAGGGACGTAGCAAGCACGTCTTCCTTCGAAGAGCCTTTTGGCTCCACTTGCAATGGCCTTACTGACCTAAGACCCACAAGCCAGGGCAGGATCATCCCCAAAGGCATGGAGAGCTTCTGCCATCCAGCTCCTAGCCTTACCAGGGTAGCACAAGACAGGCAAGGCTCCCATTCTCCTCCGCCCACACCTCTGAGTCTCCTGTCTGTCCTGATGCAAAGGGATGTCTCTGGAAGGAACAGGGAAGGTAAACATTTTGTATGAGGGTGAAGAGGAGCCAGCTGACCTGGCCTTGCATTGAGGTCAACAGAAGACTGTAAATAGGAGTTTGTGCTGGCTCTGTTTTTGGGATCAGTGGTCTTAATGCATCCCCTGAGCAACCCCTATGCCTCTCTGGATCACTGTCTAGCTCAAGCCTCCAAGGCTGCCCCCCAGGACAGGGCAAGGACAGGATGCCCAGATGGATGAACCTATTTTAATCCTTTTGGGGAAAAGACAGGGAGCCCTGCGGAGGAGACTGGACATCACTCACATCTGTACTGTGATGGCTCCAAGACATTCAAATCCAGGCAGCCAAAAATACCACACAGGGACCCAGTGCTGGCACAACGGGGCTGGGAAGCCCCTAAAATCCAAGGATGAAAGGCATCCTCAGACTGCTGTTCAATGAGCTTACCAGGCAACCAGCTGAGCTAGACCCTCTGGACTGTTACCTGAGATTTTTGCCTTTTTCTAGAAAGACACAAGGATGGAGGACATGGCTATAAATCATTTGCTCTAATTAACCCTCAGGAGGGCATTTACACAATGAGAAAATCTTTATTATCCCCTCTAAGACTTCTTTGGATGAGTTTCAATATCCAGTAATCAGCTATTCCAGAGCCTTGCAAAAAAAAAGATTCTTGTTAATGCCTAAGAGGGTAGCCTGAGATGAGTAGGCTCAGCAATTTTTTTTTTTGTCTTTTTCATTAACAAAGAATTAAGTGATGGTTAGATGATAATATTTCAAATGCAGTGCTGGAGATGATCGTTGCCCGGGTTGGCTCAGGGTGTTTAAGATGGCATTTCTTCCTTTCCAGACTGTTGACACCACTCAGGAGTATCTCATCCCACGGGCGATGCTGAGCCCCCAGCAAGATGCAGGATTGTAACGTCCACAGGAAACGTGAGCTGGGGAAATCCAGGACAGCGTCCTGATCAAGGTGGCCGGGATAGAGAGCTGGGGAGCTTAGGAGTCACACTTGCGACAGTGCCTCTGCTGGTCCGTCCTCTTCCGATTCCTGGCCCTCCCCATCCTTCAGGACACTGCATCCAACAACTACTCTGTCCTGCAGAATTACACCCTTGCTGGCCACCCTACCTTGTCTGTGTGTCTCTTTCTTCACTTGTTTGGAGGGCTGTACCAGCCCTTTTCTAGCAAACCTGAAAAGAACTGGTACCATGCATTAGTGGGATTGAAATGCCCCATCTGAAGAAATTAGGCTCCTTCTAATGCGACGCAGTAGAGATGTTAGTAGCAGCTTATCTAGCGGATTCGCTGGTTAGTCATACTTTTAAAAAAAATAACAAAATGAACCGTTTGAACCAACATTTGAGCGTTTGACTCACTAGTGGTAATTATATTGACCCTGTTGTATACAAAGTTCTCTAAAACTTTTGTTTTAGCAAAATTGAAATTCTATGCGCTTTGAGCTAGCCCCACCCCACAGCCCCTGACCTCTGCTGTTCTATTTCCTGTCACTATGACTTTGACTGCTTTAGATGCTTCATACAACAGAATCACGAAGTATTTGTCTTTCTGTGATTGGCTTGCTTCACTCAATACAATGTCCTCAAGGTCCATCCGTGCTGGAGCATGTAACAGGCTTTCCTTCTTTTTTTTAAGGCTAAATAGGCTTTTATTGCCTGCATACACCATGTTTTCTTTATTTATCTGTCAGATATTTGAGCAGCTTCTACCCTGTGGCCTCTGTGATCAATGCTGCAATGAACATGAGTGTACAAATCTCTCTTTGAAATTCTGCTTAAAATCTTTTGTTTTGTTTTGTTTTGTTTTTGTTTTGTTGAGACAGGGTCTCACTATATAAATCAGGCTGGCTTTGAACTCACCTTGATTCTCCTGCCTCAGCCTCCTGGAGTGCTGGGCCAAGCTTTGCTTTCATTTCATA